GTCAGGGTTCTTCAGAGAGACAGAATCACTAGGATATAATTATATAAGGGATTTGTTAGAGGAATTAGCTCCTGCAATTGTGAAGAAAGGTCCCATGATAGACTGCCTATAAACTGGATGCTGGTGTTGTGGCTCAGTCCAAGTCCAAAGGCCTCAAAACCAGGGAAGCTGATGGTGCCCTTGGTATAAGTCCTGGAACCCAAAAGCTGAAGAGTCTCAAGCTCTGATGTCCACGGACAGGAGAGAAAAGTATATCCCAACTCCAGCAGATAGAGAGTGACTGTCACCTCTTTTCCTCTGTCTTTGTTCTCTCCAGACCCCTAGTAGATTGGATGGTTCTCACCCACACTGAGGATGGGTCTTTCCCACCCAGTCCACTCAGACTCTCACACTAATCTCTGCTGGAAACACCGTCATGGACACACCTAAAAAGATAGCTTTACCAGGTTTCTCAGCATTCCTTCATCTAACTTCAAGTTGACACCTAGAATTAACCTTTACAGGGGCTGTACATGCTGTAAGACCCTGTCAGGGGAGCACACTGGCACCAGAGAGAAAACCTTTCCATATTCCAATGTCTCTCCAGCATTCTCTACCAACAGAACTTAACATTGTGATAGCTAGCAAAAGAAGACTACTTATAGGGTCCAGATTCTTCTTTACAGAACAGGCATAAAGAGAGAATTTGGAACAGAGAAGCAATAAATCAATTATAGCACAGGCACTATATGGTGGCCCAGCTTAGGTTGGAAATCCACCTCTCTATCAATCATGTGCTTATTGCAGCTCCCATTTGGAATCCCACTAGGTTGGGGATAGGCAGAGAGGAGAAGTAGTTCCCCAAAATGAGAGGGAAGAGCAAGCACTCTTCCCAAACGAAGAGAGGAGTTTGGGGGCTAACAAAACAATAAATGTTCCCTACAGTTCACCTCCAGACTACTCAATGCATGTATGAACACACACACACACACACACACACACACATACACACACACACAGAGTTTTCTTTTTATCTATAGTCCTCTTAACATAAACAGCTATCCCATATGCAACTGCAAATGTACTCAATTTCTCCCCAGTGGGAAGAGAAAATTTAGTTACATCCAGCTACTAAATTCAGCTCCAATTTCAGGATGTTTGAGTACTGTCAATCTTGATCAAATCTAGATGTAGCTAAATGACGAATAATGAATTTATTTCCAATGCACGAATATGCAATAAAGAAGGGGGAAATGGGATAACAAAAACTAATGAGAAAAGACAGAAAGGAAAGGCAACATACAGTGGCTGTGATCATATACCATATCCTGCTGGCCCAGAGTAATAAGGATAAGAAGGAGTTCACTTCTCCAGCAGAGAATCTTTGGTTAGCCAATCAAAGTGCCAAGATTTCCCTCTCTCAAAGACCCTGCCTTCCATGGGTGGTGAGAAAAAAATCTCCTGGGACTGTCCTTGCAGCCTACTTCATCTTTTTAGCAAGTATGGAGTCTGGGACATTGCCTTTGAGAAAGCACAACAGTAAGTACCTTTGCCAGGCTGAGGACTTTCTGGCAATACCTTAAAACTTTACTTGGCTGCCAGTCAATGTCATTTGGGGAAATCCATTAGCTTGTTATCAGAAATCTTACTGAGACTGAGCTCTGAATATGGACCCTGTCCTTCCTGTTCCTATCTCTTGGAAACTAGCCTGGCAACTCTGTCAATCTCTCTAGAACTTAGTTCAATAGCTTTTGTCATAGATTCTGTCTGAAAGTAGGGGGAGGTAATAGACTGGGATTATGAAAACAGCTTACAGCATCAGCCTCCAGCCCCTAAGTTGTATACCACTCAGCTGGCATATTGGGAAGAACTACCTTTTTCAATCGGTAAGGGGGCATAGCAGAAGATATTTGAGAAGAGTCCTGAGAAATGAGGCATCCATGACTCCATTGCTCCCCTGGGTTTCCAAATTCCTAGCTGGCGTATTAACTTAATGTGGGGCAGAAAACTTAGTTATTTCAATTGGCAGAGTAGATATTATCTGTTCCTTATCAGCACAGGATAACTAAACCACTGGCAGAAAGGACTCCTCTTGACCATGCTGTATAATTTTCACCCCAATATTGCCTGTCTCTTTCAGAAAGGCCATGCGAAACTATAGTATGTCTCTCTTTTGGCACTAGGGGAGGCCAGAAGTGGACAACATATTTCAATAGTCTAATTTTCCTTTTCTTAAGTCAAGTCCCCTAAAGCTAGAGCTTTATTGGACATAACAAATTATCTACCAGTGTCTCTCAAGCTGCCTGCGGTGAAGGATCAATTTTTTTCTTTTCTTGTTTTTAGTTACCAACCAATTGCAGACAAGTGCTTTAATAAACACAAAAATGCATATGTAAATGTCACTGTGATGTCAAATTATTAAAAGTTTAAAAATGTTCCTCCCAATTTCTATACCTATTTCATGCTGACTAGTACAGCTCACTGATTGGCTTTGAATCATATATCACATTTTCAGTAGCACTGATCTAACCAATAAAGCTTGCTATTTTCTCAGCCTGGGATGAATGGCTCCTCACTGTCCCACCCACCTTGACTAAGCCACTTCAACATTTTAAGGTCAGACAATTGCAATTCCCCATTTCCAGGTATCAACTTCCTTATTAATTAAGAGTCTTGGTTCAGAACATATGCTGTATATTCTAACCTCTGGTATATTCTGTTATAGTCTATAACCTCTGTTATATTCTAAACACTGTTACATTTTGACTTCTGTCTCCTAGCTGGCACCTGAATAATGGGGCACAGTATAAAAGCAGTGAAGCCCATAGACTTTATCTCATTGTCTTACTTCTTTCATTGTGAAGTGAATTCCTTGGTCAGAGGAATGGTATATAGGATAATGTGATAGCATACAAACATTCCATAATTCTATTATTAATGGAAAATAGTGCTTGCAGCAAAACCAAATCTAATTCCAGAATGTGGAACTATTGTAGTAAGGCAAATTGTTGACTGATCAATGACAAAAACGAGTCCAAAGAGTAATTGATATGCTTGATTCCAGGCATCTAGTTGATCCACTTGAAGGAGAGTGCCTCATAAGGACCTTAGAATTGGTCACCATTGTTCTAAAATTTACCTTTAAACAGTGGCAGCAGCTGAATGGAGCATTTCCTCTGCCATTTCATTGGTAAATCAAACCATGTTACTCTTCAGCTTAAAGTCTGTTTCCCTAGCACTTGGAAGAAAATCCTGACTCCTTCTATGATCTACAAGGATTTAAAGGCTAAGGCCTTATTTTCTCTGCAACTTCATCTTCTGCCATTCTTCCCTTGCTCTTTTCCCGATGCCCTAGCCACGCCAATACCCCAGCACAGCAAGCTCTCACATACCCTGTTGCTTATGCCTGGAACACTCTGGGTACCCTTCTCACACCCCTCCCTTTTAGAGATTAGCTGACATGTTACCTCCTAAAAGTCCTCTCCTCACTACCACATTCCTTTCTAATCCAGCTTCTGTTCACTTTCTATACCTGACCCAAGCTATTATTTAATAGTCCTTGAAAAATAACTTAGTATAGAAATTGAAACGAACCCAATCATTCTACAGAGCTTTTAAATGTGCAAATATTTTTCTGAACACAGAGCGGGAAGCAAAAGGTCAAGAGACCCCATAAATAGTTAAATACTCAAATGATTGTGTACTCCCAAATCCTCCAGAATTCAGCCCACGTCTTCTCTTTCAAAAGGAAAGAAGCATCATCATTTTTCGTCATCGATTCACGCCAATCAGAGGCCAGGCACCCATGAACCCGCCTCGTGGCCTTTTATTAACTTCATCGGGGCTGCTCACTGGCCGCACACAGGGCTAGAGGCTCTGAGTGCAGCCGAGCTCCGGGGCAGAGGCCCGCGACAGGCTGGGAGTGGGCGTCCGCGGGATTTCGCGCGGTGCTCCCGGAGCCGTTACCGGAGCGTCGCTCCCGCGGGCAGCCCATCTTAAGCCAACCCGAGGGGTCGTTCAAACTGGCGAGTGTACGCCCCTCGGGGTCCCCCGGGTGATTCCTGGGCTACTCGGGCGCAGAGCCACGGAAGGGTCTCAGTCCCCAGACGCCCAGCTTCCAAGTGAGCGCCCTCCCAGTCCGGTCGGCCCGAGCTGCCGCTTCTCCCGCACAGCGCCCCCGTCCTCTCACCCTTCCGGGACCCGGCGACCGGGCGTTAAAGCCGCCAAGTGCCTCCCGGCTCCCGAGGGACAGTCCCGACCGCAAACCCTAGTTGAGTAAAGGATATTGAGGGACAGAGTGACACAGGCTTCCTGCGCTGTCCATCCATCTATCCGTCCATCCTTCCATCTATCATCCCTTATCGCTCTGTTTTAGTAGGCTTCGAATGCCTTAGTGAGAGCTTTATCGCGACATAGTAAATTATCGCGTTTATTGAACTGAAAAACCGACGTGCGACTTTTTCAGACAGAAAACGTCTCGTTTAGTTAGCAAAAACTAGCTTTACTGATTATATGAGTACCTTTTGCATAAATTGAATAAGCTAATGAGAGAGTTTAAGGTTGTGACCAAATAAAAGTGACTTTTAAAAATATTACTATACGTCAGAAATTACGTACATATGTTTAGATATCAGCTAAAAATATACAAGGGATACACAATTTTTTAAGAACCATCCCAAGCCGTTCTCAAGCAAAAACGTCTAGCTGCATGCCCTCTAACCCCTTTCACCCTCCGCCTCTCTCTGCTGGTGCGCAGATGCGGCCTGACTTGTAACCAAGGAGGAGGAAGGGAGAGTGGGGGCGGGGAAGGAGAAAGTGACGGGAGCAGTGAGAGCCGGAAATGAGTGGCTAGCGAGGCACCCAGGAGGGCCCTGCCCGGCGGCGCTCTAGCCCCAGCGCGCTGTCTCTATGCTCCCCCGCGTCTCGTCTATTTATTGTCGCGGGGCGGCATAGGCCGCCCAGTACCCGGAACAACAAAGCCCGAAAGACGGAGCCCGAACCTTGGGGGCTCCTAGCAACGGGCCGGGGCGGGAGTTCCATGGAGACTGGGGAGCGCGCCCGCCTCATCATCATCCTCATCCTCCAGCTTATCCTTCGCGTTCGACGCAACCGGCAGCAGCGCTGCCGCCGCGTCCTCTGCTACCGCCCCCTCTTCCCACGGTAACCCCGGAGGCGGCCCTGGGCGGGGGAAGCGCGAGCGACTGGGCGGCCTGAGTGCCGGGTGCGGGGCATCTGGGCGCCCGGCAGACGGGTGCGGAGCCAGAGCCGGAGCCGTGCTGCGGGTGGGGTACGCGGGGGCGGGTGACTGGAGGAGAGGGGCTGAGGCGGCGGAAGCCGCTCGGGTGGCGGCGGGAGGGTCCGGTTCTGACGAGGACGGGGTGATATTTGGGGACCTCACTCGGGATAACGGGGTGGGGGTGGGGCGTCCCTGCCTGGGAGCAATTATCGAGCCGGGTGTAGGGTAAGAAAAGAGGGCTTATTTTTTGTGTGAGCCACTACTAGGAAAGGCAGGGAAAGGAGATTCCCCATCTCTCTGGAGCCCTCACCCCGGGGAAGAGGGACCGTGCAAAGATGCTGGGGGTCTGTGGCTTCCCACAAAACTTCAGCGGCCTCTGTGCAGCACAGGAGGGCTCCCAAATAACGGCTTAGTCGGTTCCTCGTTCTGGCAATGCCAGTGGCCCTGCTTTATTTTATTATTAATATTTTTGACCAAAACTAGGGATGGAGAAGGATCTGGAACTAAGGAAGAGAAAATGAATTGTAGATAGGTCTAAACAGGGATAAGAGTCAGGATAAGTGTTTAGTAATAGACCCGTAAGAACCTTAAAAGTAAATCTAATAGGGAATGACGGTTTTAAAAAATCTCTTTCTGCAGAGATACGCATCTGTAGGCTCTGTCAGTGTGCTCATTGCAGTAAGACTCAAACTATGCCCAGTCCACATCTGTGAGCTCTCTGACTGCATCTGCCACCTGCAGTTCCAGAGCGACACTGGCAGTAACTAGCGTGAACTTGTGTATTTAGGATGAAGAACAGTGCCTTAAAATTGTGGCTCAAGAAAAGGGAACAAGCTTGGTGCGATTTTGTGTGTGTGTGTGTATGTGAAAAGGCAATGACAGAATCCCTGGGGACATTTTAAAAAGAGACTAGGAGACGATTCAGCCATCCTGGCATAATTTGCACAATCTTTTTTTTTTTTTTTTTTTCCTCAACATTGCCAGTGACTTTATTTTTTTCTTGTCATTTATTTTATATTTTAATTTATTAATATACAATATAGTTAATTCTCGTTCCCCTTTACCAATTCCTCCTTTTCCTCCCATCCTCTCCTCCCACCCCACCCCCGCCAATCAACATCATATCTGTTCCCTGGTCTTAACAAAATCAAGGAATTGTGATTGTTGCAGAATCTTAAAGTTTGAGAAATGGCAGTTCATCCAAATCGAGAAGTGACTTTTAGCGCTATCTGGTCAAGTTTCACAGCTTGATATGCCCAGTTAAGTACTCATGAGTTTATGCTTTCTCTTTAAGCCTTTCATCACACACTACTAAATGATTTTATATTTTCCAAAACCATATTAGGTCAGTAAATAAAATTTTCCTGTGGTATGCTGAAAAGGCCACATACATAGTACTATTATACCGTTTTAGTGGCCAACAGGAATAAAGCTCTTTAGATTAAAGATGAAAATAAAGCTGATAAATCATAGAAGCATTTTTGTCAACTACAGCTTCTGTTTGTTCTTCACCTCTTTTTCTAAGCCTGGTTTCTCTTAAGCAAAAAGGTGTGATCCTTATCAACCCCCTCTTTTTATACTCTCCGCCATCGAAATCAGTATCAGAAACTGATCTGCTACTATCTACTCTTGATTGATCAACTAATTCCTGAAGGACTAGCCAGAATACATAGTTTTAAACAGGCATTTTCTTTCTTTTTTTAAAAAAAAATTATTTTATTTATTATTTTTATTTTAAGCTTTTAGTCTGGAATTGAGGTTCAGTGTCCTTTGTTAAAGGAATTTCATGTATGTGCAAAGATGTGGGCAGTTTTAACAAGGATGCTAAAGGATGTGAATGAACATTGAGAAACCTAAATTGCATTTTAAGACTCTTAAGAACAAAAGGGTAATATTATCATCTTTAGATTAATGAATTGAGGACTGTTGCTTTATCTTTTCATATAGCTATTCTTCTGTGAAGGATATGCTGGGAGGACCACCTTGAGGCATAGATGTTGAATGCCGGGATTTTCATCGTGCTTGTGACACTTAATGAACTCCCTTGACCTCAGGGCTGCCATCAGACTCACTTCCTGTGGTCCTCATTGCTGCTGCCTTTATCCTTTCTCTGTTTGAGTGGGGTCAAGCCCTAGTTTCCACCTTTATTAACAATCCTATTTCTGCTTTCCCTGTTCTTTACTCCAACACTCCCAGTGTTTGGTGTTGTCTTAGTTTCTTTCCTTTCTTTACCATGTCTGAATCAAAAATGATTTTTCTTAATGCTGTCTGTATTATTTGTTTCTTATGGAGTTTTCAACATATGTCCTTTGTTTGTATAGACTTTTGATTAATGTTACTTTGTTACATTTTCCTCCTATATCCCTCCCCTTTATTTGGACAGTTGGAGTGGTCACGTCAGATGTTCTGTATTCATTCTGAATAACTGTTGGTTGTGAATACAACAGGTTAGAGCCGTATGCTGAGAATCAAAAGATTGTATTGAAATAAGACATGTGAAAATATTTGAACCTTTCAGAATAAAAGGCTTTTTAGAAGCCCCAGTTGCTTTTTTAAAGGTAAGAGTATCGTAGATCCTGCTGTGTGTTTTAAATTCAACCTTACTTAGATTTTCATGATTTTTATTCTAAGAAAGGTATTCATATGTCAATCTTTTCTGATCATTTTGCATCTGAAAATTTGACTGAAATTACTTTTTTCCAAGTGTGAGGGAACTAAAGTGATTTCCACAAATTTTGCTTCACGTGGAAAATTGTCGCATCAAAATTTTTGTGGATATATATATATGTAGAATGTGCAGAATTTGCTATAAAGTAGAACAAATACATATGAAACATTTAGCTGAGTATCTTCGAAAGGAGTTATTTCTTATCATGGATGTGGCACATTATTTAAAAATCAACAAGTATTGTATAATCTAATTGAATGGATGTGAGTACAGTTTTTAGATAAAGGAAGCCAGTAATAACCTGGTGACGGATTTCCTTCTGTTGCATCATAGACCATGTGATGAAATGATTGCTATGAAAAGTAAAGTTTAAATTGATTTTAGAAGAATTTATAGTAGAAAATTTCCACAGCGTCTTTGAGTCAGAACCTGTAGTGCTTTGAAAATTTAGCTGTATTGTAACATTTGAACTAATAAAGATTTCCTGAAATTTATACCTATTTTGTTGCACCTTTTATATTCCTAATGCCATGTCACATATGCACAGCTGGATGAAAGGTGTTTCCCTTCAGGTGCTTTTTGTGCACTTGAAGATAGCAGAAAAATGACATACATGGGTTATAAAACATGACAGACAGACACAAATTTGAATTTTAAATCCTTTATTACATACTGCCTGGTACTATAGTTACAGGTGTACAGATTTCATCATGCCTGCTAAATTGGAAGATTCTTGAGAATCAGGACTATGAGTCACATCATATTGTGTGTTCATGTCGTGTATGTATGTATTTTGAAGATTAATATGTTAATAGAGGGAGATATATATTTGTTTATTTTTATTTCACTTCAGGGACTTATCTAGTTGATGAGGGGAACCTTTTTGAAATCTGATTCCTAATGCCTAAAATTTCAACTTTTCATCCTGTCTATAGTTATAAGCAGCAAAAATTTCTCAGACATGATTAGGGCTTTGTTTTAGCCAATTCAAACAATAAAGATAATGGTTGACTGCCCTACTTTGAATAGATACAGTGTTTGCTCTTGTCACCTGACTACCACTTTGGGAAATTTCAAAAGGTTGAGAGACTATATACATGTCTGAGGTCTTTCCAGTCCATGTAGACAAATTTGATTTTTGCATTATGACACAGTACATCTTTTCTTGAGAAGAGAGATGGGTGTTTGTATAGTTGTGAAAAAGCAAGATTCCAGAAGTATATATAGTGGAAAGGAATCAGGTCACATCAGAAATTCTACTCATCTGGTCTTATCAGTGACTAAAGGGTGACAGAATTGATGATTGAGTTTAAAATGTCTGGTTTTGTGCTGGGAAACATGCTGCTAGAAATCCCATTAAATGTTTAAAACACACTAAGCTGATTTCTGGGGCAGTTCAAATATGCCTTCATGTAGGAGTTAATAATATGAAACTGTTTAAAATTTTACCAAAAAATGCAACACAAAAGTTTGTCTTTTGGTTTCTTTCACCATGCAGTATACATCCATTAAGAAAGAATACTGAAAATCAGATGGTGTGTTAAGGTCAGAGTTTTCTCAGGACATGTGTGGATGACTTTAGTATTGAAATGTCCTTAGCATGATAGAATAGACATCTGTCTGTAGACGTTCGTCCATGGTATGTTTTTGTTTTTTAACTATGTGAGGAATTACAGCATCTTAAAATAAGTAAAGAATTTTCCATTAACTAAATGGTTCCAAAGAATCAGGTGTTAATCTTCCTCCTCCTTACATTACAAGTACCTGTATTTCTGTTTGTGAGACAGAACAGTTTTGATCAGAATCAGTTACGTTTTCTTCGGTTTAGGGTTGTATAACACAGAGTATAAACTCTGGTTAGTGGCTGCCTCTGTTCAGCATCGTGGCTATAGTTTTTATTAGTGGTATGGCCTTGAATAAGTTTTTTCACTACCATGAGCCCCAGTTTCCTCATCTGTACTATGAGGTTATTGTTAGTACCATCTCTTAGAGTTGTTGTGAGAATTTGAGAATTAGTTAAACACTTAGAAATTTAGTTAAGAGCTGAAAAAATATTAGCAGGTGCTAGTAACGATGATACTAGTTAGTACATTAAAGGTGAACGATTAGACCACTTGAATGCTTTTTTAAAATTTTTATTTAGAGGCTTTCTACTAAAGCATTGAAATTCTTTCCTTGTGATCGCTAACTATTGGACTGATCTCTGCTCTTAGGTTTTGGGAGGGAGAAGTACTTTTTTAAAATTTTGAATTGTCA